TGCTTTGGCGATTCCATGTCGATGGCAATAACAACGTCAGTAGGGTGATCTTCTTGCATCATTGAGTCGTCCATTTCGGTTCCAAATTGTGGCAATAAAGCCACGGACATCGGTCGGGGTCGTGGTGTGGTCCAAAGTTTGGGAATTCATGATCCGTGTCTTAAAATTACTCAACTCAAATATCCCAGCCACGAGCGACTTGGCTTAAGACTCTATAATGAATATACATTTATTTACATATATTTTGTTAATCCTTTATGGTATCCAAGGACTAGTAGCTTGCCCGCCAACCCCAGCGGTGAGAAGCTCGGCAACCCCTTCGTTGTTTATCAGAAAACAATCCTCCAGACGAACCCCTACCTATAAATTTTCGTCAGCTCCACGTTTTAAGTGACAGAGGTATACTTGCCGAGCCTTCGATATAAACTCCAGGTTCGTTTGAAAATACATTCCCCTTGGCCAATGCAACATCATTTCCCCCACGTAAGTACGGCGCTTCATGGATCTGAATGCCAATTCCTATGAAACCTTCATTCAGACAAGTCGACCGAAACTTAATTATACGCACCATGGCCCAGTCGATGGGTAAAGTATTCCCCAACACCCGCAAGCTTCAATAATTGGCGAGCTGCTTGATCAACCTCCGACGCACTTCTCCCTTCACGTGCCTCATTGAAGGCTGCCTGTTGTGCTGCTTGAACTAGATACCAAGTGTGGAGCTTTTGTGGCGGTATCTTGGAATTCGGGATTGCTATCGTCTAGAAGAGATGCTTAGCCTTATTTTGAGCTGATACATGAGGCTTACTCTTGTTAAGTCAGAATAATAGCCATGGAGTGAGCCCATTATATCGAATAAGGCAAAGTCCTCCTCTTCAAGTTGTCGGTTGGTTCCGCCTCCATGTGGTAAAGCGGCGTTTTCTTCTCAAGTTCAGCACCAAGAGATTAAATCTGGCGCCTAAACGCCCTCACCTCCAAATAGTACAAGAGCACGCCCATTTTGGAGTCCAGCAGAACGAAGAGCGTCTAAAATGTATTGCTTGGCTTGAGATTCCCGTATTCCAATGTGTAACTTCCGATGCACAGCTCGTAAGGCTAGCAATGTTACCTATGGGGTGGTGTCAGCAGGAAAGAATGAGAGGTCCAAATCAGTACCTCATTGGCACATCGTAACAATGTTAGTTCAGCAAAAGATTTCTGTTCTCGTATAGCAAGAATCTCCTTGGATGGCCCTTCCACAATTATATGGTGATTGGCTTGTCTAAGGCCCTCCACAAGGAGAAACCGAGACTCTGCATCCACAAAGATCTTGCCATGTGTGAGATTATCTGATAAAACTGTGGACGATAAGAGTGTATGATATGGATTCGCATCTTCTGCCCATGTGATAAAATTGATGTTGTTCTGGGTTGGTACTTGCAAAAGCTTCGCCCGACTTGCTTCAAAAAGAGGTGTGAGAATGGAGACTTTGGCCTCTATTTTTGTCGGTGCGCTGCTTTCCGTCGAATTGACTTCAACAGGAGTGATCATCAGAAGGAAAGGCCGCTCGGAAATGGACGACTCAATGATGCAAGAAGATCACCCTACTGACGTTGTTATTGCCATCGACATGGAATCGCCAAAGCA